GGCCCCTTTACCTTCTTAAAGAAGGGGATGCGCTTGACGTTGGAGGGGGACGTGGTAACACTGCTGACGCTAGGCTTAGGGGATCGGGAATGCTCCAGACCCTCAGTCTCCTCTGCCTCTAAGTCAAGGGCGTCTAGGTCATAAGCTAAATTAGTCATGTCCAGAGTACCTGGGGGAGAATAGGGGGAGGGGGAAGAAAACACCCCTTTACCTTCTTAAAGAAGGGGATGCGCTTGACGTTGGAGGGGGACGTGGTAACACTGCTGACGCTAGGCTTAGGGGATCGGGAATGCTCCAGACCCTCAGTCTCCTCTGCCTCTAAGTCAAGGGCGTCTAGGTCATAAGCTAAATTAGTCATGTCCAGAGTACCTGGGGGAGAATAGGGGGAGGGGGAAGAAAACAAAAAGAAAGAAGAGAGGGAGGGAAGGAAGACAAAGTAAAACGGGGAAAGAAGAAATAACTGAAAAAAACAAAAGAACGAGAAAATGTACCAAAGGGAGGAGGGAAAAATGATTTGGAGAACGAAAGAGAAAAAGGAAAGGAAGGGAGAAAAACCAGAGACTTCCCTGCATATGGGGTAGACAGGAGGGCAGGGCAGGGGTGGCAGGCACCATGCCTGTGAGGGCAACAGGGCATCTGGTCGCAGGTTTCCTCTGTGTGCCACGGAGGTGGGCATGAGTGGGCATGTCTGGAGGATGCCTGTGCCCCGGCGGGCATACTTGGAACACGCCTGCGTATACGCCCCTCTGCCTCTGCCCACGTGTTCATCCGCTCACATGTGGGACTCTCCGTGGGTGTGCCAGCATGGGTGGCAGGCCCCCACGTCTGGCCCAATACGAAGGCTCATCCACCTGGCTGCCCGCGTGTGTGTTGTATGCGCAGCCCTGGGCTGCGTTTGCAGGGCACATGGAGATCCCAGAAATCCTACTGCAGTTCCTGAGCAGATAGCTGGGCAGTTCCAGGCTGGCACCCCTGTCTTTCTGCCCCCGTGGGGCTAGCTGGTCTCAGGGGCTGAAGGGCTCACAGCTAGAAGGGGACCTGGCAGCCAAGGCCACAACTAGAATCAGCCGCTCTCCTCCAGTCTCTCCTAGGGGTGCAATGAACTTTGCCATCTGGGGGCTGTCCGCTGTCAAACAGCAAAGGGAGAGGGAGGTCTTACCGCTAGCAGGCGGGGTAGGCCTGCGGGTCCCCGTCACCACATCGCCCAGGCTGGAGCTGGAGTTGTCCCCCGATTTGCTGCGTGGGGCAGAAGGGGGGGAGGGGTAAGTGCTTGGAATTTCCTGGGGGGGTGAGGGGGAAAAGTCTGGGGGTGGGGACCAGATTGGGAAGCAACAGAGGGACCCACTGTGGCAAATGCTGAGCAAGTGGGGAAAAGGTCTCTCTGTGAGAGGCTTAACACTGGAACCGCCCCAGGACGATGCAATGTGCCCATCTGCCTTGGCATCTTCTGCTCCCCTGCCCCAGCCTGGATCAGACCACTGGGGCCAGAGGCTAGACCTAGGGCTGTACCAGATCAGATCAAGGGCCCATCTAGCCAGCAATTTTCCCCACTGTGACAGTACAGACGGATGAGTCCCTTCCTGACCTCTCCCCAGCCAGCATGCAGGCTCAGCCCTGGAGCATGGAGATGGAAAGTCCTTTGCATCCTCGGCTGGGTCTCCGCTGCCTGGTCCCTAGTGCAGGAGTTTACCACTGAGCACAGGGAATGACAATCCACGTGTTGAGCCCACTGGAAGGGAAGGTTGATCCTCCTCCCACGCCCAAGCTCTCCGTGAAGTGGATTGGCGTCTGGGCCTGCCTCAGTTTCCCATAGCCCATTGCTCTCGATCCCTCAGGTGGGGTGGGGATCCCTCTGGTGCCCCAGGGCTGCATGAGGATGTGGCCAAGAGCTGCGATTCCCCCTCCCTCCTCTCCACCTGGAGCTTAGGCGGTTTTGCCTCATCTTCTGCTCCTGCAGCATCCTCATGTTCTCCAGCTTGACAGGGCTGGGGATGAACCCCACCTCGCAGCCCTCCTTCACCAGGCGCCCGATCCACCAGTCGTTGCTGTATTTCTGGGGCGCACAGAGAAAAGGGGCCTGAGACATGGCGCCGAGCCCCTCCCCCTGGCGCCCCGTGTCGCCTCGGTGCCAAACCCACGTCCATCGACACAATACCGAGCCCCAGTCCTCCAGCCTCCCCAGCCTCCGCCCCGGCACCCACCTCTTTGATATGCAGGAAGTCCTTGGGTTCGAAGGAGATGGCCATGCCCTGGACCGGCATGTCATCATTGGGGGAGGGGTTGTAGCCCACGTTCGTCCTCACGGCGAAGGCCACTGGCTTGGTCTGTTCAGAGGGGGGGGCATCGACACAATACCGAGCCCCAGTCCTCCAGCCTCCCCAGCCTCCGCCCCGGCACCCACCTCTTTGATATGCAGGAAGTCCTTGGGTTCGAAGGAGATGGCCATGCCCTGGACCGGCATGTCATCATTGGGGGAGGGGTTGTAGCCCACGTTCGTCCTCACGGCGAAGGCCACTGGCTTGGTCTGTTCAGAGGGGGGGGAGTGATGCTGGAGGGAGGGGCCCCCAGACAGACCCCTGCCCTGGCATTTCAGAGGGCGCTGTGGCCAGGGGGCCGCACAGCACCCCCCCGGA